GATGAAACTAAACTCACATTAGCATTACAATTACTTTCAATTATTATTTGTATAATTTTTGGTAAAATTGATTTATTATTTTTCAAGGTTATTGTTAGCATTAATTATGTTGGAACATCAGTGCAGTAGTCAAAAAGGAGAGGAAATTAATTCTACAACGTCCCCTATACCAAGTTCGCCGACACGAGCATCAAATTTGATCGGGAATAGTTTAACATTGAAATATATTTCTGGGGCAGCAATACCACAGCAATCAATGTTTCTTGCTAGTATTCTTAGCGCCTTGCAACTCGTATGTTATTTGTTTTAATGTATATTGTTAAATCAATTCTAAAATTTATATGTATTTCTTAGACAAGATAATCCCAATTTATTAAATTATATAGAATATTTTTATTATAATTAAATTATAAAAATTGATTGTTTAAATTATGAATTTATCCGATTAAGCAGAAAGTGATAATTGATTTTCAACGAGATAAATGATTTGTTGTAATGGATATAAATTTTGTAGGATCATATGAGGCATCTTCATCAACATTGGACAACCCTTGTTACGTCCAGCCTGCCTTTTATGGGACCGTCTTTAACATCTGTTGTAACATCAGTCATTCATCAATTATGCAATAATATTGAGCATCTAGCATCATATTATATTAGCGAAGATGCGACATTGACATCAAAATTGCAAGATATAAGCACAGTGGAATGCTGCTTGCCTGCAGATTACACAGTGACACATTTGGAAGCTTTGACATATCTACTCCATTACTGTCTGTTGGATACTTCCCAGCAAATCGGATTCTCATTTAATCAGCCATTAAGTGGTACTATACAAACGGGAATTCCCGGTGCTAATCCTGGGCAAATATTCAACAATCTTATACATGTCTTTATGCCTAGCCCACTTTCTCCGGTTAGTTGAATGAAATATATTATTTAATTATATGATATTAGTCAATATTTGATTTATTCAGTACGTTATAGCAAAGTTTTTGTTTGCCGTAGGATTTATCTACAGCTAAAGATAAAAGTGGTGCAAATGAGCTGCAACAACATGCCAGAAGAACAGCATTAAGTCATTTGCCAAGAATAATAGCATCGTTGTCTGCCTTATGGCAAGCGGTTTTGGCAACAAAAGACAAGTATATTTTATTTGTGTTCTTTAGTCAAAAATATGTAGAAAAATAATATTAATGCATTCTTTCAATAATATTGTATAGTGAACAAGCCAGTTGTGTGGTGGGTAGTCCGAGAATAGTCAAATATCAATTGTTGGAACTGCTGTCTCCAATCTCTTTCCATCATGGAGCCAACTTCTTGGCTGCAGTCGCAGTTGCCTGGCATGAAAGGCGCCAATCATCCACCACATCAAAAAAGGTAAAGGGCATCCTGTATCTAATTTAAAAAATAAATAATAAAATGAGGAACAACTAATAGCAGTTTTGGAAAAAATATTTTTTTTTCTAATTACTATTTATTTTACAGATACTTCCAGAAGCGTGTCCTAACCAGCAAGTAATGGTTCATCTTGTTAGTGCGATTCGTGTTATGCCTATTGATACTTTGGTGCATACCGTACATCAAGTAGTGAAAACACCACCGCCGATACACGGTGTCAAGCAAGATTTCTCATTGGAAGTCTCAGTGCTCGAATTACTTTATGTATATATGCAAAGTAATACGTCGCAATCGCTTATTGAATCTTGGGCATCCTTGTTTAGTTTATTAAAGGATGGTCTATCGCTAACAGCACCTGCTCAATTCCTTTTGCTGGCTATACTAAACGAATATGTACAAAAGTGCCCACCTATGCAAGAGAAGAAAGATATCAAAGATTTGCAAGACGTGTCTGCGAAGGTTATTATTTATTTATATATTGTATAATATATTTATATATTGTATGTAATAATTAACAACACGATTGCTGAATGTTTTTAATAAACATTTTAGTTGATTGAATCGTGTTCGCAAATAGCCGGTGCCTGTTTAGAGCAAACAACATGGTTAAGAAGGAATTTGGCCGTCCGCGAGGACGTTTTTGAAGTGGTCGAAGGTTCTTCGGAAGGTAAAGAGGGAAAAAATGGTGCTGGTGCGTAACGTGCAATTTATTTTATAGATATATTCTAAGAATATTTAATGTAATAGCAAAATCTTTTTGTTATCGCGCTTTATCTTTATTTTTTTTCTTATGCAGTTGGTAATTGCAAATAGCTCTATATTTTTCCTCTATATATTCATGATTATCATTGAAAGTTTTGTGTTACAGTAACACCCGGAACTCCACCTAACGCGGCATACAGTGTTCAAGCGCAAGCTGTATTAGCGGAAATACTTGCACCACTATTGGATGTCAGTTATGGTTCGCAAGAGAAGGAACGTGTGGTAACGCTCCTGACAAATCTCATGTATAATGTTACGCCTTATCTCAAGAACCACACGTAAGTTAGCTGTGTTCAACTGTAAAGATTTTTTTTTTCTCTAAAATTCACACGAGAAAGAATAACACCTGAACTTTGCTTACTTTATCTAATTTTACAGGATAAAAAATATTGCTTCATTCACCGCCTGTTCTCAATTACTGGCTTCCTTATCAGGATATCAGTATACGAGAAAGGCATGGCGCAAGGATGTTTTAGACTTGTTACTTGACTCGGCCTTTTTCCAAATGATACCGGCCTGTCTGCCATATTGGAGAACTATAATAGACAATCTGATGACGCACGACAACACTACCTTCAGAGATTTAATGAGTAACACACTTTTTTTTATTACATTTACGTAATACGTGTATCGATTATAATCAAACAAATTAACACATTACTAACCTGTTAAATAGATCGCGTTTCCATGGCTCAAGGCAGTGGGATCAGTATATTTTCTTCGAAGGAACAGGAATATGAGCAGAAAGCACAGCTCTTGAAACGTTTGGCGTTTGTCATCCTTTGCAGTGAAATGGATCAATATCACAAATATATGCCGGAGATACAAGGTAAACATATTTGCGAGATACATTTATAGACTATATCATGTATATTTAATAATTGTTTTCATACACACTGATTATTTTATTTTTAGAACGTTTAGCAGACAGTTTACGTCTACCTCAAGTAATCCCATCTATTCAGGCGCAAGTGTTTCTCTGTTTTCGCGTATTACTATTGAGAATGTCACCACAACATGCAACGTCCTTATGGCCAGTTATAGTTAGCGAGCTTGTTCAAGTATTCCTCTATATTGAGCAGGAATTGAATACAGATAGCGAAGAGTTCAGGTATATAAATTTATCTAATCTATGTGCTTATTTTGGACAAACTTGCTTGTGGGACACTGTTGCTTCGTATGTGCATGTACGTTTACTTTACAATACGCGATTGTTTATTTGAAGTATTGAAATGACTTCGTTTTTAATCTTCTTTCAAAACTATTATATTTTTAATATATGCATTATTTTATTACATATGAACAATCAGTATCGGCTTGGCATTTATTCTTATTATTGTTATTATTATTATTATTATTATTATTATATTCTAATCTCTCTCACTCGTTAACATCGTAAAAAAAATGCTATAATGCAAAATCTCTCTATGAAAATATATTATTAATATACACTATTGGCATTATTGGTATTCCATATTACTTTTGAAATCGATAATCTGATCCAATAATTATCAATATTTTCAAAATCCTCGAAATATGATTGCAACGAAAAATGGAGTCTTATAATACATGGAATAGAAACGAGATACAATTATGTGATATAAGACCATCACTTCTCGTGGTCTTACATATATATGTATAGATATTGAAGATATTAAATAGCAGAATATTTGTCTGTGTA